TAGCAGAAAAGTAGCTTGCTCATAAATGTTAACAAGTTTGCTCAATAATGAAACTATTGCAGACATGATAGAGTATGTGGCAGTGTGAACTAATATGACATGGAACTTCATTGTACATTCAATGTACAGGGAAAAGAAAAGTGGATCTGATAGTGTGCCAAACAAACAATGATTCGTAAGTCAGCACAACAAAAGAAGAAATCCTAAGATTATTTTTGGACCATAGAAGAATGTACCTTATTTTTGGAGCATCGAAGAATGTACCCTATATTTTATCAAGAAGAAAAAAGATACTACTGTGAAAATGATAGACTGCATCCTGAAATTAGATCAAGTCCTCGTGATTCTGGTCAAAACATTTCATGCAATACCTGGACTCTTATTTCGAAGACATACAAAACTAGAACATTGAAGCTAATGCAAAACAATGTAACAGAGTGCATAAAGTGTTAAAACTATGATTTGCTACAGAAAGTTCTTAAAACCTTGAGGATCAGGGTATACACATTGGTCAACAGGTCTCATGTAGGACGATTGACTTCTCATACAGATTAACTAAAGTAACATTAACTCATCAAATACATAAAGTTAGTAATGGCCAACATAAACTAAGAGATTTCACTAGGGGAGCATCTGAGAGAGAGATATCACCTACTAAAAGCCTACATCTCTACAAGTTAATCACTGCTATGATGGAAAGTTCACCAAGGGAGCCAATTTCCTTGGTCAAAACAGATTAGTGATTTTAAGTTGTCTATTAAAATCATGTAGGCTATGCAAAACACCAAGAATAGGGATTTTTCACTTGTAGCAGTGTCAAACATGGATAATGCATAGATTAGACAAAGCGTGGCTGATAAATTCTCCAAATGGTTTAAAGGCTGCAGAACTTGACATGCCAGCTACCCATAGCTATATTTGGTAAATTAGTAAGCCAAGGATGTCATACACATCTAGTTAGAAAATGCAGTTGAAAATACATTATGCATGTGCTTATTTCATAACTATCTAGAAATTGATTGTTTTAGCTCCACAGACTAAGAAGGGTGAAAAAACAAAGCTCTGAACAAAGGATCTAAACTTTTCAATTATGCAAAAACTCAAGCAAAAATATAAGGACTAAAACAAAGTAAAGGAGCTCGCTTCTAGGTGCTGATAGCAGCAGTCATTACAATTTTTTTCAATACTATTCATTACATTTTTATACAATCTAACTGCGATTTGCTTTGCATTTTAGGGATGACATCTTTACTGTTTCACTAAGCTCTGAAAAATAGATGATACATAATTAATCTTGTCCATTCACCATCATCACACGATAAGATTGTACCATTAATCTTTCCCACGACAAAAGTGCAGAAAATTTTACGTACAGTAGGAAAAATTGAAATAGCCAATCCCATAAAACTATCCTTCATTATTTTTCCCGGTGATTTTCAAGACAACCTCCCACATCAAAAATTGTTCAAATGCACCAAACATCACTTTTATTTAGCAACTTGTACTGTCCATGCATACTAAGGCTAATGCAGCAACATCATCTTTCCTTTTCTCCAGGAAGATCAACTAGAGTGGAATATAATTTCTGTATTAACATCAAATGGAAGTAAATATAGCTAACTCAGGATTGAACTTGAACAGCAAATAGTAATTAAAAAGAAAAAGAAAAGGAAAGGAAAAGGACCAGCAATTCACCCAAAAATCAGTAAAGACAGAAATGGAAGGAAATACCTGTATGCTATATCCAAGACCAAGCCTCTGAAACAAGCCAAATCATCCTTTTCAGATTCAAATTCATCCATAATCTCATCAAAAATCTCATCTTTCCTCATTTTTGAGCCACTTAATTGCTTTGATTTGTCCATAGAAGAAGAAGAAGACGACGCTGATGATGATGGTGACGCATGCATTTTTCTGCTACCATTACAAGCACCTGCAGAGCTGCTGAGCTTCCTCTTCTGAAGTTGAATAGGAACCGATAATAATGCATCACTGAATCTCAATCCCCCACCATTTCCCACGTTGGACACAGACCTCATTGTCACTCCATCATTACTGAAAACTGGCTTCAACCGTCCTGTAATCTTTGCCATTAAACCAAACCAAGAAACTGCAAGAAGAAATGGGCTTTTCCTCTTTCTGTAATAGGAGTAGGAGTATTTGTCAAAAAATAATTGAGCAAAGGAGGACAAAAAAGACTGATACTAGCAGAGGACAAGAAAAGCAAGAAAGCATCAGATGAAAGGTAGTTTTGCTTCATAATTTCGGCGTGCAATTTTTCGTTGCCACATATTCCAGGGGACCATCCCCTCGTAATATCTGCCATGGATCCTTGAGTCGCAGGCAATGACATGTGTGTCCTCAATAAAATCTCTCTTTTGCCCATTTTATCAAACAGTTTGGTCGTTTCGTCTCATGTTACTCTCTGTCTTCAATTTTTTTTTTTTTTTTTTTTTGTAGAATAAAAGTTTCAGTCATTGTTAGGAATCAGAATATGCCTCGAAACCATAGTTCTTACTAATTGAATTTGCAGTTTTTTGTGAGAAAACAAACTATTGTTATAAATTGAATCAATTTGTGTTATTCTTGAACCTTTTTTTGACTTTTAGAATTATGTTTCCATTACGTGCACAAGAGTTTGTTCTGTTCAGACTTCAGAGTTTAATTGGGGCAACAATATGAACTTAGAACTTGGAGTTTGATTGGAATGATTGTCAAGTCACAAAGAATTTTGAGAATTATCGAATGAAATGAATGAGGCCTTGTGGTTTTCCATTGAGAAGAAACATTGGAGTGGTTAGTTTTTTGTATTAGCGCTGGAACCAGACTCTTATAAGCGTGCTTAGGAATTAAGCTTTTGCAGTTATCCACTTAAAACAAAAAAACTAACTTTTAAAATATCTTTTGTAGCCTTAGGCTTTTTCTAGCTTGGGTATAAATTTGGTGGCAAGTTGTGGTAAACCACAGTAACTAGTGGGCAAAGCACAGACTATGTGTGCAAATTGTAAAAGAAAATAATGAAAAAATAAATTTTGAAAAGACGAAGAATACCAAATCAATTATAGCAACAAAGGATGAGAAAACTTTGTGCTAACGTATAGTTATCGTTTTTTTTTTTTTTTGAAATATTATATTAGTGTTATGAGTTAGTGACAGTTTGAAGAAAGTTATTCTAAAATCTCATTTGGAGTTACATAACTTATAAAAAAAAAGTACTTCTAACACAAGTGTTTTAAGCAAGAGTATTTTTAAGTTACACCAAAAAGTGCTCGTGCTTTATGTATAGTGAGATATAAATTTGAGAGAATAATGATACACTAGTCCACGTTTGATTCATTTAAATTTATTTAAAGGATGTAACAAATCTAATAAGATTTAACTTGACATTAAAATTGAAACGAATAAAAAAAAATCACGAATTCACATATATACAATTAGGCAATTTTTTAATATAATATTGTAAAAAGTGACACCATTTCACCCCTCAGGTTTGAAGATACACATAATTTAATTTGAGTGAAACTCTTCTCCCCACACCATAAATTGATATGGGTGATTTATTTGTGTAACTAAATCAAGTAGGGGTAGTGGTTTGTGCAATTACATTGAGGTGTAGATCAAAAATATTTGAGAATATAAAACTTTGTAAAAATTAAGAACCATCTACCATTTTATAGATCAAATTGAAAAAAAAAAGTGAGAATTTAAGGGGCAATATTTAAGGTTATTTAAGGAAAAAAAACTTTAATACAATTGTTTATTGTAAAAACCTTTACCATAAATGTATTTTAGAATTTTAAAACATTTTTTGAATTTTTTGGATTGTTCGACAAGAATCATCCCTTTCTTCTTCCTTTTTCTCGGCCACTCACTCCGCCGCCCGCCGCCCCACCCCTTTGCTGCATCCTCTTTCCCCTTCCTCCCATCTCTTGAGGTGGAAACGGGACAGAAGCGATCATCAGAATGATCGCTCCTGAGCTGTTAATGACCATGATTTGGTGTCAACAAATTGTGCGGGTCCAGATCACAAGTTGTGCATCGATTTTCACACCGTATGTGGAACCCATAAAATTTTGTACTAAAGTTACACGTTGTGCAAACAAAGTTACGCCGTATGCAACCAAAGTTACGCGCTGTTGAAAATGGCCAAAACTGTTGGGAACGATTGCACGTGCAACTGTCCGTACCCCTTGTCCCTTTCCTCACCACCATCAACTTTCTCACAATGTTCGCCCCTCTTTTCCGCTACCCATTCACACATTTCTCCCCCACCCCCTTGCCACATCCTCTTTCCCCTTCCTCCCAACATCTCTTTCCTCGATCCCTTCCCTTCTATCCCTGCTTTTTCCCCTCCTCCCTCCACCCCCTTCTGCTAGATCAAAGGGAAGGAAGGAAAGGTGGGAGTGCCAGGGAGGTAGGAAAATAAGGTGGGGGTGGTGAGAAAAGAAAGGCAGGAGGTAGAGTGGGGTAGGTGCGGAGAAGAGGTATGAGTCTGTCTTTCTTTTGGAAGAAATATAGCACCTCCCTTGAGCTCTATTAACTCTCTATAGTCTCTTAGAGTGAGGGCGAGGGTATTGCGAATTTTTTGGGTTACTTTTTGGGGTGTTTTTGCATTTTCTGGGTCAATGTTTTTTTGCTCTAGAAGTTTTTATTTACTCCCATGTTCAGTCCTCAATTTAAAGTTTAAACTATTTACGTTTTAGTCTCTATATATCTTGGAAGTTGGAATCTTAAAGCCGTTTGTTGAGTCTACACAGACTTTTGCCAAATTTGATCGTAAAGGAATCCTGATTTTCATCCCAAGATTCAATTAAGCTGGTAAGAACACTTAGTAAAGTCCACAAAAAAAAATTGTAAATACAACTATAGCCCCAAATTTCTATTCATCCCTCGCGGCCTTGTAAACCAAAATACTACACCTATCAAGCATTGGAATCTTGACATCTAACCCTGAATATTCTATACTAATAATCCAAAAAGTTATCCATAATCCAGGTGACTGGTAAAAGATGTAACTTGAGAGATTGTTTGCAAGGAATGCCAAGATAAAGAAACGAAGAATATACAATTCCAGTTCACAGCACAAGACTAAAAGACTAGAAGTAGAAAACTGTTCAGAAAATGTCATTCATTGACAACGTATGAGTCGACAGAAGAACCAAAATTGGACACAGTTTAGTCCCATCACCACCTCCCAACAACAAGGATGGAAGATCACAGTATAGTTCTTAAGAGGGAAAATCCTAAGAACCAAGACTAGCTAATTTATCAGCTCAATCACAAGCAGCATCAGAAGAAGTTGGTTCAAATATGGGCAACTGCTCGTTGCAAATTCAGTTGCAAGCAAATGAGAGCAGTATTGTGCATTAATATTCTCCATGAATACTTGGTGCCTCGGTCTAAGCAGACATCTGAAACAAAAGGAAGAAGAGGAGGATTACACAATGATCATAGGGAAAAGACAGAAGTTTCATGTGACATCTCAAAACCGAAAGAGTTACATACCATTGCTGGTTCTTTCTAAACTCCGTTAGGACAGGATAAATGTTTTCAAAGGCTGTATATGTTTCATCTCTTACCTGTAACAAATTTCATAGAGGACAACAGAGAGATGATAAGTCTGAGAAAGCCACAGTTAAGACAGGAAAGCAAAAGAGTCGCAATTACACGAAAAGATGAGGCATATTCTCTTTACCTTTGCTCCTGTGAGGACAATCTTTCCAGAGACAAATATTAGAAGCACAATTTTCGGCTGCTTCATTCGATATATTAGGCCAGGAAAGAGTTCTGGTTCATACTGCATCAATAAGGCCCAGAAAGCAACCCCGTAAATGAACCAAGCCCAACAACAATGTAAACACAAATAGCAAAGTAAACACAAACTTAAACTTGACAAACAGTATGCCAAGAAGAATATTCATCTATTGGCAATCAACTTGTAATTTTTGAATAGGAATCAACTTACACTGGAAAAGGCACCATGGGAATATGCCAAACCTTCGAGTCTGATGGGGAACTTCACATCACAAGAGCCAACAATGTTTTGTATCTTGAAATCCTAACAGACCAAACCAAAGGAAAACATTAAGTTGCGGTACTAATAGCTTCCCAATTTTCATAATCAGCATCTTGAAGTACACAAACAAGCATAACAATGGGGGTTAACATTTCTTATAAAAGATTACACTATGAACACACACAGTTTTTTTTTCAGGTGGTTTTTTTGGGGGGGGGGGGGGGGGGTACCTTAAATTTGGCAGGGAATCCGAGCTTCTGTATAATACGTGCATACTGAAAAGAAAAAACCCAGGTAAGAAGTTCATAGATGATATTGCATACAGGGATGCTTACATTTCATGTCAATCAAAGTAGCAGATAAATTATGCACACCAAAAAGCTGTATAGTCCTCAATATTAGCACCCTTCTCTCTCTTACAAATTAGACAGGCTAACCGCAGACGTTGATCCCCAGTAAAAATTAATTTTAATCTCATGTATAAGACAATCAATTGCTTTAATAAATTCAACAACTGGGAAACAACCACATTGCTCTATTCTATCCAGAATTGTCAACCAACAAATCATTCAACAACTGAAGAATGGACAAATTAAGCACCCAAAACAATCTGCCTCTATGTATACTGAAGCATGCACATAATATCCGGACAGCATTTCAATACAACGGCCATTTCTTGTTTATGAAATTTACCCTATAAACGAGCACAAGCATGCAAGTTTTGGTTCTAATTGCACAACATAGTCGTCTAATAGGTGCACAAGCCTTTAACGCCTTTATCTCCCACATAGAGTGTATAATGGCAAGGTGCCTTTATTTACATATACAATTGTCATCTCATAATTAATATTAGGCATTAGATTTTGACCATAAAACAGGTAAGATGTGTAAAAAGGAATTCCGCTTATTTGCATTCACAAGATCTCGACACCGATCTAGGTAGAGAAACTTTTCTGTTAGAAACAACAAACTTCCGACCATAAAACAGGTAAGATATGTAAAAAGGAATTCTGCTTATTTGCATTCACAAGATCTCGACGCCGATCTAGGTCGAGAAACTTTTCCATTAGAAACAACAAACTTCTGATTTTTTTACTTGCATATGGAATCAAAACATCAGCTTGAATATCCTCTTCCACTACAGCTAGCAAATTACAGCCAACTTGTTGCACTTTACATTATTCATCATTCAATCCATCAAAAGCAGCCGAAAAATATAAACCAACAGTTGCCACCAACCTTCCTCGCTGCAAGTTTAGATTGCTGTTCACTCTTTGCTCCAGTGCATACCTATATGAGAAAAAAATCATCAAAAACAAATTGTTACTTAAATGAATATAATTTTCTTAGGAGTTAATGCAATGAGCTCAATAAGTTTTGAGTTGGACACAGGGTAAAATACTACTTTGGAAGTACTGATTCATCTCAAAAGATATTTAATATGACAACTGATAAAGCAGAATCTCAAGCAAATAAAACAGCTTACCATCTTTCCCGAGGCAAAAATCAGCGCTGTAGTCTTTGGTTCCCTTATTCTCATGATAACAGCAGCAAAACGCTGTATCAACAAACAGATGTTTAAAACCCATACAACTAGTGATAAACATTCCAATCTGAACAGTAGCACAAATATCATCTCAAACAAGATATTCACTCCGTAAGTATTCCCAAAGTGAAACGACTCTTAAGTATTAACACCAAAGCTTTTTTCCCACTCAATAAAAAGATTTCAAACACTTAAAACCACTATTCTTTTTCTTTAGCTCATTTCCCAACCTGATATATGAAGTCTTTTTCCACTCAAAATACGTACTTTAGGATTATATTCTGCATTACGAGCTTGCAATGCAATAGACTTGAGATCTAACTTGCAATCCAAGTTGACAGTTGACACTATATTCCTGAAAATCATAGGAAAAAAAAATCATGGTTAGCCAGTGCCATATCCGAACTAAGATTATTCAAAAACAAGACAGATAACAACAAGCCAAGAGAAGGATCCAAGAAAATCCGTTGTTTGGGTAGCCTGTAAAAAGCAATATTGACAATTACTAATAATCAGAGAAAGAATCATATGAACCCTGTTTATTCATGTACTTACTTTGTCTTATATAGATACAGACAGCAATCTTAATATTTCAATATGAAAACTTTAATCAGCTCAGAAACTTGAGCTTGGTTTAGTACTGCAATCTCCAAGCAGATTTTCAAGAATACTATGCCCACTGAATTTTATTGCTGAAATCAATTAAAAGTTCTTAATCTACAATTCACTCCATATGATACACCAAAAATTCGGAAGAAAATAGAAAATCAACTCAGACAAACACAGATGAACTTCATATAAAACTAAAATCCCTCGTCAAACATCCAATCAACCACAACATGGATCTACTAAAATCAAATTCCAATTTTTTTGTCTCTTTCATCAGAGAAAGAAACAACAACTTACTGAAGAGTAGGAACAATCCCAGATGGGTGCTTTGAAATATCAACCGGTTGACTCCCTTCCAATCCATGCCCCTCTGCCATTCCTTCCTTTCTCTGTTATTTTCCTCTTCAACTCTTAACGAAAAAATTCTTTAATTCTCAGCCAACCCACCTCAAAACCAGCGACGAATTTCCCAAATTTGCTCTCAATTTGATCGATTAAAATAAAATCAAACCCTCTATAATTTACACGGTTTGTCTAATTATTTACAGGATTTGCTTCAAAATTACACCAAGAATCTTAACCCAATTCAGAAAGATCAGCGCATCAACCAAAAATTCTAAGATCCGGGTCTTGATAACAATCAAAAGGGTCAATCCCAGTGCAAAGATTTGTAAATATAAACGCAGTTTTCAGCTTCAAAAAGGGTAAGAAAACTTGGACCAGAAGCGCCAAAATTTCGAAAAATAGGTGCTTTTATATGTTTGTATTTAGATCTTGTGAAGAGATTGAGAGGACGACTCTTATATATAAGAGGGTATGGATCGATGTGATGAGAAAAGGAGAAAGTCTGAGCCCTTGAGGAGAGAACGAATATATGTGATTGGGAAGCAAGAGGAGAACTTGAGGCGGCGTTCTTGAGGCCTTATCTACCAGCGGATGGGTATATATAGCTGGTAACCGGTTAGGGTAAGGATTACCGGTAAGACGTGTGTGTTTACCGGTTATTGCCCCTTTTTTTGGTGGATTTATAATTTATGTGGGGAAATATAATTTTGGTGACCGACACCCCCTTTTTTTTTTTTGGTGAAAGTTATATTGACAGATTTTGACACTAAAAAAAAGGAAAAACAAAAAAAAACAAAAGGCTTTTGCAAAAAAGAGAATTGATATATTTGGAATTTGACCCCGTGACTTTACAGCCTTCTCTAATTTTTGCGCACTTCAATTTTGTTTATCTTTGTGTTCCCCCTTACTCCATTAAATCCTTTACATAGAGCTTAATATTACATGTTGAAAGATAGAGCATACAAAGATTGCATCAAAACTAAGAGAATGAGACTAAACAAATATAGGCATTGATTCCAGCGAGCAAAGTGAAGCAACGCGTTAGCAAATAGTGGCTTGGAAACATATAGAAAAAATAAGAAAGGAAAAAAAAAAAAGACAAGAAACCAAAAAAAAAAAAAGAGAAAGAAGATAACAATAGGAAAAGTAACGAAAAGGAAAAAGTGAAAAGAACAAGTATAACAGTAAGTGTTTCTTTGTCCAACAACGCGTAAGGGGGTTAAGTGCTGATAAATTATAAGGGATAAAATGATATAAGCATATAAATACAAGGGGGTTAAGTACAACTCACCCAAACAAAAACCATAAAGTGGATTTGGATTTTGTCTACCGCAGAAAATAAAGAATAAAATACAAGAAGTGTGAAACTATATATTTTCACTCAATTGTAATGGTTAAACACGTTACTAAATGGTAATGTGTAATTCTCATATGCAACAATGTATACTTTATAAATAAAATTATTGAATTATTTCTTGTGTCATAGCATATTAATTAAGTCAATTTTCATAGTGACTATTTGAGTGCAGTGGACCCATATAATTAAGTAACTTAAATATGACTAATATATATGTGGCCTAAGAACCATAATTACTTGGATAATAGTGTACTAAGAGAGTCCAAACTAAGTTAATATGGGCGAATTTCTAAAAATATTGTTAAATCATAAAATTTCTCACTTTTGGTGTTTTGTAGAGTAGTTTTCTCTACTTAGGGCTGCCGTATTCCCAAATACGGTGACCTCAAAATATACATTTCGTTTCCTTTTTCTTTTTATCGTGTCAAAGGGATTGCCCTCTTTTTCTTTGCATCTGCATAGTTAGCGCGTGAAATGGAGCTATCATTGCATCCATTTTTGGATGTGACGACAGACATGGCACAATCGATACAAGCAAGGTGAGGCACGTTTTAAGCCACTGACCAAAATTTGATCAACGACAATAGTGAATCGATACAAACGAGAATGGAAAATTTTTATAAATACAACCCCAAATGCATCATTCCAATCTACACAAACCCCATATCCTTTCCCCCCCTCTCTCTCTCTCTCTCTTCTCAGTCCCTACCCCTATTCTCTTGCCATATAGTTATCCCCATCCCCAAGCAACGAGTCATAGGCCAATTTGTTGGAGCAACATTGATCGATACCATTGGTGAAAATTGATTTTTGTCCATTGTTGGAGCTGCATTGGTTAAGATTGTCGGTGAAGTCCGGTGTCTGTAGGTGGTCATTCCGGCACAAGTGGTGGAAGTTTATGGTCAGTGATGGAGATCCGACTCAACTCATCAATCTTATGTAGTCAATGGTGAAGGCTTATGTGAAGATTGGAAAATTTTCCTTATATTTTTCTAAAAATTCCCTTTTATTTGGAATTTTTTACTTTAGAATAGCCTTACTACTCATTTACCCCACAATAAGTGCAAATGAACATAGAATTAAGGGTTTTTCCTTTCGTTTTCAAGTTATCGCAAATTAGGATTTTTACATCTTTTCGTAGTGTAATTATTCGGTATGGAGTGTGTATCAAATTTAGTGATTAAGAGTGAGTTTTGGATGATATTAAATGTGTGATTAGAAGTGATAATAATAAGTTAGTGAATTATAAATGAAAACCCTAGTACGTGCGAAATAAAGAAAAATGGGTTGAACCGATGTGTACCGTTCGTTACCGATTGAGTGCATCACTTAAATACAACTTTATTACCTTAATCTCATTGTTTTAGTTGAGCTAATTAGCTCTTAATTAACCCTTAACTCAGCCACCATTATTGACTAAGGAAAAGAGAGATATTTTGATGGAAATATTTGTGATTAAGCCATTTGTTAAAAATCCAACCAAGGTCTTCACCAAGACCTTTGACCAAGACTATCCTTAGTTTTTATCTTATAAAATAGAACCAAAAACACCTCATTTTCTTCATGCTTGGTCGTGACTTAGGAGAGGAAAAAGGGAAGAGAGAAAACTTTCCATTTTTCCAACTTGAGAGCTTGCTTGATTCTTGAGAAAATTACCGTAAAACTTGATTCTACTTCAATCAATCTTTGGGAAAGCTTGGAGGTGAGTTTGGTGGAACTTTTGGGAGGAAGAAAGTTCTTGTATCACAAGTTATTTTGGAGATTTTGAGGTATTATACTAGAAACCTCCCTTGTTTCTTTATTATTTTGCAATTTAAGCAAAGCATGACTTGATTGTGGTGGATTGTATGGAAGATTTCATTGTTTTGCTTATTAACTTATAATTTTCAGCTAGGGTTTGTAATTTTCTATTTTTATTAGTGTTATTTATCTAGAATATGATGTGAATAAGCTTAGATAAGGAGGTGAAGTAGTGTTTCAAGCTAGAATTGTGAAGATTAGCACTTGAATGCATGAATTCCAGTTTTTCAGTTTTGTATTCCCCTGTTCTGCCCAGTTTCATTCTGTCATGATGGAGGCCGAATCAGCCTTAGGTTAAAATATAAAAGTTGTAGGAAATGATGTTTTATAGTTTCTTGTAAAATTTCATCTCAATCCGAGCACTGTAGCACTTCAAATGATAAAATTACCTTTGCTGCCATAGGTATAGTTTTGTGAACAGTTTTGACATTTTCTCATTCTGGCTGCATTTTTTCACCTTGATCTGTTTCAAATTAACCTTTGGCCAAAACACAAAACTTTTAGACCTATGTTTCAGCTTTCCAACGCAATTGAAAACACCTCAAACGGAATCGTGTAGTCTGAGTTATTGTCATTTGAACACAGTGCTATTAACCAGCCTGATGGTGAAATTCTGGTTCTATAACTTATAAATTTGACCTAGATACACTATGAACCGGGTTGAGTTGTCTTCATCAAAGTTGTATCCCTTTGGCTTAGCTTCGAAACGGTATAAATTTTACCCAAATCCGATAAGCGTAGCTTCGGTTGTGACCGATACGCTAAGAGACATCAAACCTATCATTTTGTTCTTCACCTTAAATCTTATTTCCGGTCACTTTTCTGGCTTGGTTTTGTAATTGATTGACTTTTAGCCTATTGAACGACTATTGTAATGAGATTATCTGTGTGTGACTTTGGGATTGATTGAGAAAAAGAATGAAGCCATAAATGACTGGAAAATAGGTAAATACAAAGGACGTGCTGCCCAAATTTACACTCGAGGGCTAGGTAGATGTACTCGCGACTTGAGTAAGGGTTGATGATGAAACTAACTTGAATCATCTGAGGTATTCAAGTTTTCTTCAATAGAGGCTTATAAGTTGGAATTCGACCGAAACTTTTACCCTTGGAAAAATGAAATTTACGACTAATAGAAATACGTTTTCTTTGTCACTTCGACTCAAATGGAAATTTCAAAATTTTGTGAGCAAACATAAGTTTTACAAAAATTTGACTCATGTTCTTTGGTTTAAATGTATTTTTTTCACTTCCAAAACCATATTTATACTTCGTACTAGTAGTTATTCGGATTTTCTTTAGTTCACCTAAACTTTGGATGGTTTAACTGTAATATTTTCTCTTGATTAATCTTAGGGTTTATTGGTGATTAAGGGTAATACCCGGAAGAATACTTTGGACGTTCTTTTGCTTAAATAGGTGAGTGTTCTTTATTTGTTATGTTTCCATTAACTATATGATTTGTTGTGGATATTTGATTAAATGATAAATATTTGTTAAAAATGAATTTTACTTGGCGAGTGTGTACTTTATCGCACTCGACCTAAATGAAATGTGAAATTTTCAATGTTTAACTGATTAAATGTTAGTTGTACATGAATGTATGCCTTTTGGCTGAACTGAATCCTTGCCCTTCGTTGCCGATCGACTCGAGGCAGAAGTGGACTCAGTCGGGCGATTTGATGATCTTGGGTGAAAGTTTGGTATACTCAAGTATTACCACGTTGTCGGGTGGAGTCTGACCAATGTCCAGAAGGAAGAAGAATGAAATGAATGAACAAGTGACAATGTCAATGGAGGGGTTTTCACTTACAAAATGCATTTTAAAATGATTGGAGGAATAAGAAAATGAAAGGTGAATGAAAGAACGAAAGGCTCTATATGAGCATGTATCCTTTTAATGAATGTGTTATCATTGTTTCATATTGTAAATGTTTCCTGGATTACTTGTTATTACATGATTAATGTCCTTGTTTAAGTTGATTATGTGTCTGGAACCTCACTGAACTTTTAACTCATTCCGTTAGTTTTGTTTTCCTTAACAGGGGATGCGAGCAAGGACGAGAGATCTGTACAGACAAGCCTAGTCTAGTTTTTTTGAATTTTTGTAATGGTTCTCGCCCTAGCGCTTGGCAAGGGTTGGATGTATGAAAAATTGAGAATCTTTGTACATTTGGGTTTGTACTACTTTGGAGATGGAAATGTATATAAGTATATGTTTTAAGTTTGGAATTATTGTTACATTTGTTCTTGTGGTCTTATGTTTTTTCATGTTTATTTGAGAACTGTAGTGAGTCCCAGCGAGAGTTGAACAGACGGTCCGTCGAATCCTTTGGTTCGCCTTAGGGGGAGATGGGGTTATCGCATGTAGTATCAGAACTACTTCGCGTGGTCTTTGCGTGGAGTGA